TCCCTCCCTCCCTCCCTCCCTCCCTCCCTCCCGTTGGCTGTGGGGCTTGAACTCAGGACGTGGATGCTTACCCTGAGCTTTTTTGCTCAAGATTAGCACTCTTTCAGTTTGAAGCACAATGCCATTTCCGGGTTTTTTTGGTGGTTAATTGGTGATAAAAGGCTCACGGACTTTCCTGCCTGGACTGGCTTCAAACTATGATCCTCAGATTTTAGCCCCCTGAGGAGCTAGGATTACAGGCATGAGCCACCAGTGCCAAGTTCAGAGCTGTTACTTAGTTTTTTTTCTTTTTGTTTATGTGGTGCTGAGGAATCGAACCCAGGGCCTCAGGCATGCAAGGCAAGCCGCTCTACCACTGAGCCACCTTCCCAGCCCGTTAGCACCCAAAACATAAGCTACAATTCTCCCAATGACAGACAGGAGCTGTACATCCCTATAACCCCAACCCTGGTGAGACTTAAGGAGAAGCATAGAGTTTATTTTCTATGTAAATACTTATTTTTATTCTTTTTAACATTTTTATTATTATTTTTTAAGTAGTTGTACAAAGAAGTTCCCATACTACAAAACAGTATATGAATACAAGGTGTCTGACAACATTGTTACTCATCGTTCCTAACTCAGAGAAGGATGGAGTTTGAGTCCAGCCTGGACTGTCTCCAAAAACCAAAGAAAGGGAAGTAGGGTTATGGCTCAAATGGTAGAGTGTCAGCATTGAATGAAAAAGCTAAGGGACAGCACCCTGGCCCTGAGTTCAAGCTTCAGTACTAACATTAAAAACAAACAAGCAAAAAACTGGGAATGTGGCTTAGTGGTAGAATGCTTACCTTACGTACATGAAGCTCTGGGTTCAATTCCTCAGTACCAAATAAACAGAAAAGGTTAGAAGTGGTGCTGTGGCTCAAGTGGTAGAGTGCTAGCTTGAACACAAAGAGGCTCAGGGACAGTGTACAGGCCCTGAGTTCAAGCCCCAGGACTGGCCAAAAAAAAAAAAAAGGTAGGGGAAGAGTCTACCAATAATAAAGTACCTTGCATTTAATTTAAATAATTTTTTTCCCTGTGTTTCAATGGTGTCTTTCTTGAGGCCTATGATAGCACTACAGAGGACATTTTCTGTCAGAATTTCAGTCCTTTCCTATTTTTCTTTCTTTCTCCATGAGATACTATAACTTATTTTTAGTTCACAAAATGAGATTCAAGACCTTATTATGAAATATAAAGTAATAGTTGAAGCAGGATTAGGGTACCTGGTATTTATTCAGCTAGTAAACCATGCAGAAATTTTGGGCATGAAACTGCTAAAACATGTGAGGAAGTTTTGAAATTCACTAGACGGCATCTCCTCACTTGGATGTCTTGCCTTTCAGTAACATAGGTCAATGCAATCATTTCTCATTGATATCACCTTTGTTTTAGTTTTTCACAGGTTGGTGGATCATAATAGATGCAGCTGTTAATTATCCCAACATGAAGGATTTCAACCACTCGTATCATGCCTGTGGTGTTATAGCCACCATAGCCTTCTTAATGTAAGTGTCATCCCTACCCCACCTACACACAGTCAAGTGCAAAGAGTGTTTTATGTACAGTTGGAAGAGTAACACTGAAAAGTGATGTCAATGTATTGGACATGATTTTAATTCCTAATGGTAGAGAATAGTGATGGTCCCATTTTCTAGAATTCCTCTCATCTTTCCTCTCTCACATCTTGTCTCCCAGCTTTCCTTGTCTGTCTTGTGATTTCTGTACTGTCAGAGTTAGAACTTCAAACAAAAATCATGTGCTTTCTCATGTGCTTTCTCTAAGGAAGACATAGGAAACTTTTTTCTACCAAGGGCCTTGTAGATATTTATAATATCATTCTTGAGCCGTGCAAAATTATCACTACAAGTAGATGGCCTCAGGCAGCAAATGAGAAGCATGTGTTTATTCTGCCAGGTAGCAGATGATTTCATAGGCATATGGGTATTGTATTGCTCCTTACCCCTGTAGAAGGGTGTGTGTGTGTGTGTGTGTGTGTGTGTGTGTGTGTGTGTGTGTGTGTGTGTGTGTGTGTGTGTGTGTGTGTGTGTGTGTTTTACTGGGTTGAACGCAGGGCCTCTTGCCTATTAGGCAAGTGCTGTACCACTTGAGCTGTGCCCCCAATTCTGAATTATTCATTCTTCCTACATATTTCTTTTGTTTTTGGTCCAGTTGTGAGCCTGAACTCTGGGCCTGGGCACTGTCCCTCAGCTCTTCAGCTCAAGGCTAGCGCTCTACCACTTGAGCCACAGCACCACTTCCGCTTTTTTCTTTTTGTTTATGTGGTGCTGAGGAATCGAACTCAGGGCCTCAGGCATGCAAGGCAAGCACTCTACCACTGAGCCACCTTCCCAGCCCCATGACTTCAGTTTTTAAAACAATTTTTCAAAAGTATTATGTAAGAGTGATTTAAAAGTTGACTGTCAGGGCTGAGAAGGTAGCTCAGTGGTAGAGTGCTTGCCTAGCATGCATGAGGCCCTGAGTTCGATTCCTCAGCACCACATAAGCAGAAAAAGCCAGAAGTGTCGCTATGGCTCAAGTGGTAGAGTGCTAGCCTTGATCTGAAGAGCTGAGGGACAGCGCCTAGGCCCAGAGTTCAAGCCCCATGACTGGCAAAAAAAAAAAAAAAAAGTTGATTGTCTATGTACTTCACCTTTATAATAACAAAAATTGTTTCAGTTGATTGTCCAATCACACAGACTGAATAAATGTATGTGTGCAGGTAGAATAAAGTACACATACAAGCATACAGACTAAGGCAGAAGAAAAAGTCCCCTATCTCCACTGATGGCAGAACTTTAGCACATCTCCCACTGGTCTCATTTGAGACTTCAGTGTTTTTCTGCTTGGGCTTTTATTCTTTGGAAATTGAGTTCCATGGACTATTGCCATATGAGAAGCGCGTCTGGTAAATTGTTCTTTCTTTTCAGGTGCTCGCATCTGGTTGTTCATCGGTTTCATGTTGGCCTTTGGATCTCTGATTGCATCTATGTGGATTCTCTTTGGAGGTTATGTTGCAAAGGGTAAGAGAAAATACTGGTTATATTTACTTCAGTGGTATATAGGGATTTGTCTTTAAAGTTTGCCAGTTGTTATTATTTTGCTTTTGTGTGTGTGTTTGTGAATGGCAGGGCCTCAACTCAGGGCCTGGGAGCTATCCCTGAGTTGCTTTTGCTCAAGGCTAGTGCTCTGCCACTTGAGCCACAGTGCTACTTCTGGCTTTTTTTGAGTAGTATAGTGTATTAGAGATTAAGAGGCCTACAAACTTTGCTGCCTGGAGAAGCTTTGAACTATGATGGTCAGATCTCAGCCTCCTGTGTAGCTAGGATTACAGGTATGAGCCACCAGCACCCAGCTTTGTTGTTTTTTCATACAGATAGGCTACTACTAGCCAGCCCCTTCTCCCCATCAGTGTTTGGTTCTGTTGTTTTATAGGCTTTTGGCATTCCTTTCTTCTTCTATTTTTCCTTCCTATCTGTAGCCTTGAAGGGCAAGGGTGGGGGAGTGGGGGAGGTGGAGATACAACTGAAAATATTGCTTCTCTTTTCCTTCTAAAAATCTCAGAAGCAGAATAAATTTGTTTTTTTCCCCCAAGTTTTGACTTACAGAATAGCATCTATATTTGTGACACTTTCCTTATTCTTTGTGTCCCAGTACCTGAGAGACAGTTTAAAAGAGGGGATTTGTTTTGGCTCCAGTTTCAGAGGTTTTAGGCCATGGTTGGCGGGCTCCATCTCATGCTAGGCCATGGTGAGGCAGAGAGCATCATGGCGGGAAAGGGAAGGAGCAGAGTTGTTCATCTCATGGTGGACAGGAAGCAGAGTGGAATAACAGGCAGGGTAGAGCTAAGAGAGACCCTTCAGAGGTACCCTTGAACCTGCTTCCCCCAAGTAGGTGCCACCTTTCACAATTCTACCACCTCCCAGTAGATTTTGAATTTGTCACTGAATTCAGCCATTGATTAGTCAGAGGCCTTATGAGCAGTCAGTAGTCTGTGCTAACTTCCTCATAGGCATACCCAGAGGTGTGCTTTACTAATCTCTCAAGTATCTCTCAAGTCAATGAAGTTGACAGTCAAAAGTAACTACCACATCATACATGCTAAGCTTTAACGTCCTAGAGCTGAAGATTTTTTTTTTGCCATGCTAGGATTTGAACCAAAGGGCTTATATAATATTCTAAGCAAGTATTCTACCGCCTAGCTACATCCCAGCCCATTGTTTTTTTTTTTTTTTTTTTGCTGGTCGTGGACCTGAACTCTGGGCCTAGGCGCTGTCCCTCAGCTCTTTAGCTCAAGGCGAGCGCTCTACCGCTTGAGCCACAGTGCCACTTCCGGCTTTTTCTGTTTATGTGGTGCTGAGGAATCGAACCCAGGGCCTCATGCATGCAAGGCAAGCACTCTACCACTGAGCCACCTTCCCAGCCCCTTGTTTTGTTTTTTTGAGACAGGATCTTGCTATGTGGTCTACTAGTCCAGGCTGGCCTAGAACTTGAGACCTTCCTCCCTCCCCACTCTGCATGATGGGATTAAAGGCATACAGCCCAGCTTACAGTTAAAATTTATTAAGTTAAAACCATCTCTCCTTTTTTGTGTATATACTAACACTGGAGCTTAAACTCAAGGTCTCTTGTTCTCACTGAGGTTTTGCTTTGCTCAGAGCTGGCACTCTACCACTTGAGCCATGCCTCTATTTCCAGCTGTTTTGCTAATTATTTGGAGATAAGAGTGTGTAGGTTTCTCTGCTGTGACTGGCTCTGAACTGAGATTCTCAGATCTCAGCCTCCTGAGTAGCTAGGGTTGAAAGTGGGAGCCACCCATCCATACCCACTTCTCTCATCTTCTTAGAGAAAAGTTAATATTTAATTGCATCCACTATCTCAGGCCTGTCTGACATAAGCATAGGAAAAGGCATAGATTCCTGGCTAAAATTTCATCTTGAGGGACCTCAGAAAAATATGAAACCACTTAATGATGCCTACCTTGGCCTTGAACCACGATCCCCCACCATCTCCCAAGTAGCAGAGTTACAGGCTTGAGCCAAAGTACCTTGATTAGACTTTGAATTCTGATTCCTTACCAAGTGCTGGGATTTCAGGAGTGTAACACCATGCCTGGCTAAGTTTTTTTTTTTTAATGTTTTGTTTTTATATAATAAAATCCTTGCCTTTTGTCCCTCCCCTTCTATACTATGTAGTTAGTTTTTGTTAAATAATTTTTTACCTATGAGTTCCATTTCAACATAGTAAGGGAGGTATTGAGTGTTGGCTCTGATGTGAGAGTCCTTGGTTGTAAAGAAGCCCCCAACTAAGCTCATGTGTACTCATCCAAACTCCCTCCTTATGGGGCTGCTGTCCAGGGCTAAGGTGGTTCCTGTGTGGCCAGCCCTGTTAGCCTGGGTCAGTATTGAGATGTGGTCATTTAGCTCATAGTTAGCACTCCTTTGAATAAAGAGTTACTTTTAGATTAAAATTAAGAATAGCCATTGGGTGGTAATGTTTACTTACTGCGGTGGTGAGGGCCTGAACCGGTCCAGGGTGGTGCTGGTCCCACTCACATAGCTGCTCTGAGGTGACAGGAGAGGACCACACTCTGTTCTCCGGCCTCTCTCGGCTTCTCAGAGAATGAGTTCTCATGGTGGAAATTCAGGAGACTCTCCTTCCCCCTTCTCTCTCTTCCCTGGCCCCAGCGCCAGATAGTCCTGGGGCCACCTCTCCTGCCTAGCTGAAGCCTACCCCGTCCTTCAGGAGTGTGGGCCTGTGGAAGGTGGCTCCCTCTGGCCGCCTCTCTCCAGTCCCTTAGCAGTGTGCCGTCCTGTCAGACCAGTCCACTGCCATGTCCTGCCTGCCTGCCTGCCTCTCCCATCTTGCTATAATCTGCTTTTAGCATAGCAGCTACAGGGAGGCTGTTAAAGTATGTCACCTCATGTCACCTTTCTGCTTAAAACTCTCCAGAGGCCTTTTATCTCACTTGGAATAAACGTCAGTGACATCCAGCCCGCCCCTTTCCTTCTCTAATCTGTACTCTGGTCTCACTTTTGCACACAGCCTCACTATAGCAGCATATACCCACCTCAGGGACTTTGCACTTGCTGTTCTGCTGGTCCTGAGAGTTCTCCACCCTCATTCACTGTCAGTCTCCTGTGAGGTCTTCCTGGCCACGTGTCTAATGTTCGCTACACTTCCTATACCATCCTGCTTTGTTTTCTCTCCTTGCTTACTCTGCATTCTGGCTAGCTCCAGGAGGGCAGACACCTTCCCTGTTTTACTTGTAGTGTGTCCTGCACACACTATACTGTATTAAACCACAGTGTGCCTTCCATAAATACTCCTTAGATGAACACAGGGGTCTGCCATCTGCTGAGCTAGCGCGAAGCTCTGCATGGGTATTACGTCATCTAATACTCACCCAACCATAGTTAGAGAAAAATCAGTTGTGCTCGTTAGGAGAATTGACATTTGCTAGTATATTTAAATAAGCTAAATGTTTTGAGGTCATAAGTCTCTAAATACTACAATTATTTTTGCAGAAAAAGAAATAGTGTACCCTGGAATTGCTGTGTTTTTCCAGAATGCCTTCATCTTCTTTGGGTAAGTTGGTTTTGTATTCTTCATCCTATATATATATTTTAAAAATAGCCTCTTTTATGTCCTGTACTATATTTAGTTGCTTAATTTACCCCTGTCTAATGTCCTTCCTGCATGTTATTTTCACAAAATAGGAAGAATGAGGTTGAGAAGGATATTTTTAATTCATGGACTGGTTTGTTACCAATCTTGAGCACATTAATTTTTAAAATGCCATATCTCCTTCAGTGATAACTGTGATTCATATAGGCAAAGTTATGTAACACTGAGGATGCTGGTTTTCAGTGAGGATCTCTGAAGGTGGCTCTTAATGAAAGGGCCAGCTTTTAAAACCAGCTTCCTTAAACCTTGCTTTCTCTCTAGCTTGTAGTTCTTGATGTCCTTTGAACTTTCCAGTGAGGTTTGAGTTGTGGAGGAAAAGCTCTAGTAAGATCACCAGACCTCCACAGGTAATCTCTAATGCTTCTCTTTTCCTGGAAGCCGGCCCCTCCCTAGCCAAGCAAAGCCACTAATTCTCAGCTTTCCTCATCTCATCTCCTGAAGACATTTCTGAGGGCCAGGAATGGCTTTCTGCTGGTTTGAGTTGCTGGAAGTCAGGCTGGGAAGTCAGGGGTTTTTTTGTGTGTGTAGGGGCCTGGAGTTTCTTTTTTTGGTCAGTTATGACCCGGGCCTGGGCGCTGTCCCTCAGCTCTTCAGCTCAAGGCAAGTACTCTACACTTGAGCCACAGCTCCACTTCTGGTTTTTCTGGTGGTTAATTGGAGATAAGAGTCTCATGGACTTTGCTGCCCGGGCTGGCTTTGAACCTCGATCCTCAGATCTCAGCCTCCTGAGTAGCTAGGATTTCAGGCATGAGCCACCAATGCCTGGGTGGGGAGTTTTTTTTGTTTTGCCAGTACTAGTAACCAGAGCTTTGTGTTTCCAAACACTCAGCCATTTGACCTACATTCCTAGCCCTACCATGATTTTTCTTAAAGGATTTGATCTGTTGTATATGGTCTCTATATTCCTCCAAAAGAAGTAATAAAAGCTTCCTGTATCTACTGGAGCCACTCTAGAAATTCTTTAGCTGCCCTTAGTGACAGTCTGCAGTTGGTATTCATTTGTTTCTTCTCGTCCACCACTTCATTAGAATTGTTAACACTGTACTTGAAAAATATGAAATGAGCCAGGTACCAGTGACTCATGCCCATAATCTTAGCTACTTACAAGTCTGAGATCTGAGAATTATGGTTGGAAACCAGCCTGGGCAAGAAAAGTCTGTGAGACTCTTATATAAAAGTAGCTGGGCACTGATGGCTCACGCCTGTAATTCTGTCAACTCAGGACTGAGATCTGAGGTCTTGGTTCAAAGCCAGCTTGTTCAGGAACATCCATGAGATTCCAGTTAACCACCAGAAAACCAGAAGTGGCACTGTGGCTCAAGTGGTAGAGCACTAACCTTGAGCTGAAGAGCTCAGCGACAGCACCCAGGCCCAGAGTTCAAGCCCAGTACCAGAACAACAACAACAAAAGTATTAAAAAGAAAAATATAAAATCAACAAATAGCATTCCCTCGCTTATGAAAATTGAATATCTCTTATTTGTGGTATTTTCTTACTTTCTTCCTTCCCTTTTTTTTTGAGGGGGGGTGGGCCTTGCTGGGATGTTAGGATTTCTTCTCAAGTGTGACACTGAAATTTTTGCTTCAAGTAGGACCAGACATCTTTGGAGTTTGAGCTGCCCATAATGGCAGCTGCCGGAAGGCAGTGTGACAGGGACAGAGGCAGCTGAGAGCCTCCAGGGTGGCACGGGGAGGGGACGAGCCGGGAGCAGCACCTGCTTTAATCATTCTCCAGAAAGGACTAAGCAAGCGAGCCTTGACATGAGGCGTGGTTAGTGGGTCACAGGAGGGGAGGACTAAGAGAGGACCATTCCTGGTGTGATACATCAAATGCTTTTCCAGTATTAACTTCACACCTGTGCTGCTGAGGATCAAGCCAGGGCCTGGCTGGTGTGAAGCAGGTGCTCTACCACTGAGCTATGTCCACAGCCCCTCAAATGCTTCCCACACAACCCATTCATTATCCTTCTTAGCTGGTTTCCCACTGTTCTTAAAATCTCATGTACAGTTACTTCTCCTTGGCTGGACTGGTCATGTGGTGTTTTTTTGTTTTATCCACAGAGGGCTGGTGTTTAAGTTCGGCCGCACTGAAGACTTGTGGCAATGAGGACCTGGATATCTGGTGACGCAGTCTGGCACAGGGCTTTTTCCTGCTCACCGCAGTTTTTCTATTGCCATTTTCTAAACTGGTTCCTGAGTGTTGTCTCAGCTTAGGGATGCAATGCTAAATCATGACAGCTTCCTCTGTAAGCAGCAGCACAGTCTATCCTGGGGTGCGTCTGGTCAGCCTCAGTAATGCTAAAAGACCGTGCACACCTGTCAACTTTTATCATGGTGTACTTTGTAAAAATAAAGGAAATTATGAAAGGAGCAGTGGCCCTGTTAGTGTGTTCATCCACTCTTTGCAGAGCTTTGCGTATCAAAAATTAAATACATCCATTTAACAGGGCCTCTTCAGTGTCTGATGGCAAATATAAGCATTCCTTAGAAGTCTTTCTTATTCTCTGTATTCACTTTATTGGTTTAACCCCAAATCCTGTAAACTGTTCAACAAAAGTAGCATCTAAAGATTTTCCAAAGGGGGTATGAACATGCCAGAAGAGAGGAGCTGGTAACCGGACCTTGCCTCCTCCGGCTCTTCTTTTCCTTTTTTTTTTCTTTTCTTTTTTAAAATCAGTGTATTAAGGAATGTTCTTAGGAAGGCATTTGATTTGTTATTTCAAAAAGTTATCCTAGCTAATCCTAGCTACTTAAGAGGATGAGATATAAGGATCATAGCTTGAAGCCAGCCTAGGCAGGAAAGTCCATGAATCGTATCCCCAGTTAGTGAGCAAAAAGCTTGAATAGAAGAGTGGCCCAAGTGGTAGAGTACCAGCCTTGAGTGAAAGAAAAAAAAAAAACAGAGAGGCCCTGAATTCAAGTTCCAGTACTGGCACATAATAAAAAGTTCTTTTTCATGCTGATCATTAAAAGCAATATAAGAGAACATGGAATTGCAAGATTCTTTCTGTGGTATTTTGATTGTATAGTCATTTTTGCAATGCTAGAATCAATTTTGTGAAGAAAAAAAATCTATGCTTCTTTTCAAAGATAGGTGGAGGGTTTTTTTTTTTTTTTAAGCCAGTTTTTTTCTGCTCATTCTAGTGTGAGAGCCACTATTTTTGCCATCAGAAGCTACAATTTTCATTGTGTCCAGTTCAGTAAATTGTTGCCTCCTTTTTTTTTTTTTTTGTCGGTCATGGGGCTTGAACTCTGGGCCTGGGCACTGTCCCTCAGCTCTTCAGCTCAAGGCGAGCGCTCTACCACTTGAGCCACAGCGCCAGGATTACAGGCGTGAGCCCCCGGGGCCGGGCTTAAGTTGTTGCCTCTTTGAGTTCATTATTATTTTTGTTTTGTTTTTTTTTTTTTTTTTTTTTTTTTTGGTCCAATCGTGGGGCCTGAACTCTGGGCCTGGTCGTGTCCCTCAGCTCTTCAGCTCAAGGCGAGCGCTCTACCACTTGAGCCACAGCGCTACTTCCGGCTTTTTTCTTTTTGCTTATGTGGTGCTGAGGAATCGAACCCAGGGCCTCATGCATGCAAGGCAAGCGCTCTACCACTGAGCCACCTTCCCAGCTGAGTTCATTATTAATACAGAAGTCTACAGTCCACAAATTAGCGATGATCTAAAAGTATTAGAGCCCCTGAAATTGGCTCTATGCCTGAGCCTGAGTACCAGTGCTGAATTTATGGCCTTAGCAAACTGAAGTAGAATGTGCAGGGCCAGTCGTGGGGAGATCTGTGTGAACTTGTCCAGGCTGCTGGATGACCATTTCCCGAAGTGACATTCCTTAGGGAATGCACTGCTAAGGCATGATGCCTCCTCTGGGGAAGGAAGGTGCTTTCTACCAGGAAGTGCCCGGCAGGAGGGACTCCCTTCCCCACCACCACTCCAGAAACTGCAGTGGGCCCTACCTCCAAGGTCCTGTGTGGGATCTTTTCTGTTGTACTGTTGATTCAGGAAGAAAAAGGTGTCCCTCAGCCATGACACAGGGTCCTGGGGGAACGTGACAGTTCACAGTCACAGTGAAAGAACAAGTACTTGACACCTCATCTGTCAGGTGACAGTGTCCTAGGACTTGACACCTCATCTCTTGTAATACTAGATTGTTCTCTGTGTTTCATTTTATCTCTGAACTGAATGCTAAGCTCTGAGGACCAGCAAGGCTAATTATAACTACAAACTTTAAGCTGCCAGGAACTCCCAAGTCTGTTCCTCACTGGAGGGAACCTGTTGTTGCTCTAGGCTTCATACCTAGTGAAACAGGGCCTGTGCTCTTCAGAACTAAGACCTGCTGTCTGCCCAAAGCATGCTGGGATTGGCTTTCCATGAAACATTCTCTTAGATGATTTAAACATGTGAGAGTCCACATCAGCCGTTGTTACTGGCCCGGCTGTAGGTTTGAATATTGCCTGGCCATCAGAACACTGCTCAGCTGGCTGGTGAACCTTCTGCATGCATGCTCAAGTGTGGATGTTGGGTGGGGGCTAGAAGTCTATTTTCTCTCTATACATGAGAGTATCCAGACTGTGGGGACCTAAGATCAGAGAACTGTTCTGGTTTGGGGGTTTCATGTTTTAGTGCCATTCCTGGAGTGTGGACCCTTGGTTAGGGCACTGACTTTGAGATTTATTTTTTATTTTTTTGGGTCTGGTCGTGGGGCCTGAACTCTGGGCCTGGGCACTGTCCCTCAGCTCTTCAGCTCAAGGCTAGAGCTCTACCACTTGAGCCACAGCACCACTTCCAGCTTTTTTCTTTTTGTTATATGGTGCTGAGGAATCGAACCCAGGGCCTCAGGCATGCAAGGCAAGTGCTCTACCACTGAGCCACCTTCCCAGCCCCTGACTTTGAGATTTTTTTGCACAAGGCTGGCACTCTACCACTTGAGCCACAGCTCCACATCCAGCTGGCTTTGAACTGTGATCCTCAGATCTCAGCCTCCTGAGTAGCTAGGATGATAGGCATGAGTTACAGTGCTCAATGAGAACTGGGGTTATTTTTTTAACCCTGAGACAGTGTATCTCCTTGCACAATCAACCCCTACCTCTTTCCCACATATGCTCAGGGAAAGCCAAGGATCTTGTGGAACTGCTAGATGAAAGTGTATCTGCAGGCACCAGAGATAGGTGAGTTCTTAACTCCCCTAGTTTATTTGTTTTGTTGTTGTTGTTTTTTTTGTCAGTCATGGGGCTTGAACTCTGGGCCTGGGTGCTGTCTCTCAGCATTTCAGCTCAAGGCAAGCGCTGTACCACTTTAGCCACAGTGCCACTTCCAGATTTCTGGTGGTTTATTAGAGATAAGAGTCTCATAGACTTTCCTGCCTGGGCTGGCTTTGAAGGGTGATCCTCAGATCTCAGTCCCCTGAGCAGTTAGGATTACAGATGTGAGCTACCAGTGCCCAGTGCACTCCCCTAGTTTATATTGTCTGTTCTCAGACTGTAGATAAGAGTTAACTGGATAGCACACTTCATTAAGGATGAGAAAGAGCCTAACAATGGTCAATAGAATTCAACCAAAACTTTAATTATGTGTTTGCAACAAAACTATATATAGCATCATGCTTAATGAAACTAAAGGTATTATTTAAAACTATTAATAAATGACCACTTAGGCAAGCAAATTTCCAGTCTATTCATTACCATCAAATTTATCTCAGACCTCCTCTCATTGTACAGAGGAGCCTTCGTTATAATGAGTGTTTGTCACATACAAGAGAGGCAGCAGGAAGGACAGGGTCTTGTTGGGTAGGTCAGTCCGGCCTGTTATTCTTGGATGCTTTTGTTTAAAGTCCAACAGCCAAGTGAGGGAACTGTAAAAGCAAAGCAAGCATGTTCATTACAGATGAACTCTTAATTGTTTATATTTTGTGTTCCTACTGATTCTGGCTTGAGCTCTTAAAACTGACCCTAACTGGGGAGGAGGAAGACACATGGAGAGGAAGGGTAGACTAGTATAGTCATTATAGTTAATGTCCACATGTGAAGTGAAACCTCATGGTTTGAGGGGATGAAGGGTTGGGAGAGTTGGGGAAGAAGGATAGGAAGGGTGAGATTGATCAAGATGTATTCTACTCATAATCTGACTTGTTGAATTAAAACCCTTTTGTGTAACTACTTAATAAAAAAAGATGTATTATACTTAGAAACTAATTTGTTGGATTGAAACTCCAGTGTCTGACTACTTAAAGATAGTAAATTTTGGGGGTAGGGAATGTGGCTTAGTGGTAGAGTGCTGGCCTAGCATACATGAGGCCCTGGGTTCAAGTCCTTGCTACTACATAAACAATAAATTCAATTAATAAAAGGAAAAAAAAATTGGGGGAGGGGAAGGTTAGTTGTGGTCTTGAACTCTGGGCTTGGGCGCGGTCCCTGAGTTCTTCAGCTCAAGGTTAAGTGTTCTACCACTTGAGCCACAGCACCACTTCCAGTTTTCTGAGGGTTACTTGAAGGTAAGAATCTCATGGATGTTCTTGGCCAGGCTGGCTTTGAACCATGGTCCTCAGATCTGTTTCCTGAGTAGCTAGGATTACAGGTGTGAGCCACAGGCACCCGGCAGGAATTTTTTTTTTAATTGAAAGGTAATACAATTAAATAAAAAATTGTGCTGGTTTTAGGGCTTGAAGTTATGGTCTGGGTGCTGACCCTGAGCTGTTTTTGCTCAAGGCTGGTGCTGCACAACTTAAGCCACAGTTCTACTGCCAGCTTTGTGGTAGTTTATTGTTGATAAAAGTCTTAGGGAGTTTCCTGCTCAGGCTAGCTTTAAAATGTGATCCTTAGATCTAAGCCTCCTGAATAGCTAGGGTTATAGGCATGAGCCACCAGTACCCCGCATAAATTAAAAAAATTGAAAAACCTTACCCTAACCTAAATGTCTCATCACAAAGACCTAAGTCTAAATTAGAAGAGCTCTTAGTTCTTACTTTGTTTAGGCCTTTACATGATTCTTTGATAGTCATCTGGCTTTTGTTTGAATATCTCCACTAACAGGGGCTGACTACTGCCATATGAAGTAGCTTGATCCCTTTTGCAACAATTTAATGTTGTTAGAAATGGATATTTCATCTTCACCAGGCCTGGTAGAAGAATTCTGTGAAGGAGTGTGTGAAGGGTGTGTGTGTGTGTGTGTGTGTGTGTGTGTATTTCTCCTCTACGATGTCCCAGTGTTTGCATTAGAAAATGGAAGTGGAACGGTGGCTCAAGTGGTACAGAACCAGCCTTGAGTGAAAAAGCCAAGTGAGAGTATGAAGCCCTGAGTTCAAGTCCCCTTATGAGCATAGACAGACAGACAGACAGACAGAAAGAAGGTTGCCCTTATTACTCAGGAGGCTGAGATCTGAAAATTGCAGTTCGAAGCCAGCCCAAGCAGGGAATTCCATGAGACTCATCTCCAATTAACCACCAAAAAGGAAAAACGTGGAGCTGTGGCTCTATTTGTAGAGCACTAGCCTTAAGCAAAAAAGCTCAGGCTCACCTAGCCCCTTAGTTCAAGCCCCAAGACGAAAGCACACACAAGCGTGCACTTGAACTTGGTGCATTGTATTCATACTATTTTTGCTCAAGGAGGTGCTCTACCACTAGGTCCACACCTCATTTTTTTAAAGTGTTGTGTAATGGCCTTCTGTGCACCACACTGCAAGTAGAATAATCTTGGATCATAGAGTCCTAGGGCTGGAAGTCAGGGTAGCTAGCACTGAAGGTATTCTCTATGGGTCTATCCATGTACTAGTGTTTCATATACACTGACTTCTTTAAACTCCTGCAAATGCCCTGAGACAAGGTTACATTGTTTGCATTTCAGAGACAGGGTGGCTGGGGCTTTGGGAGGTCAAGGATGAAAATGGTAGGATCCAGATTTGGCTCCAGACCAACATAGAACCTGGGATTCCATCTTATTTTGTAAAGATAACCAAGCTTCAGAGATGGAAGTGACTTCCCCAAGAGCTCCAGCCTGATGTAGGATGAGCTAGGATTGGAACTCAAATCCACCAGGAAGCATTGTTGACTCCTTCTTGCAAGGCTGGTGGTGGAACCCAGGCCTTGCATGTGTGAGGTATGCTCTGGCCTGGCTCTGTTTTCTACATTTAACAGCTGGGCACTGTGGCTTATGCCTATAATCCTAGCTACTCAGGAGGCTGAGATCTGAAAATTGAAGTTGGAGGCCAGCCTAGGCAGGAACAGCGTGAGACTCTTATCTTCAATTAACCACCAGAAAACCAGAAGTGACACTGTGGCTCAAGTGGTAGAACGCTAGCCTTCAGCTAAAGAGCTGAGGGACAGCACCCAGGCCCAAGTTCCAGCCCCACAACCAGAAAAAAAAAAAGTAATACAGCACTAGCCTTGAACAGAATAGCTAAAGGACAACACATCGGCCCTGAGTTCAGGCCCCGTGATCAATGCATAAAAAAAAGCCATCCTCATTTTGGTGGTAGAGAGACATTTGTAGGACCCTTCTGTGTGTCTAGAACATGTATGTAAAATCAGAAACAAAGTATCAATGTAAACAGGCTAGGTTTTGGGGTTTTTATAATGCTGCATAAAACAGCAAGAGGAACTCCACACATTTTCATGTGATTTTTGTGCCAAAATAGTAATGACTTTTATATTTCCTGGCAAGGAAATCATCAAGGAAAAAAACTCTGCAGGGGGTATAGTTAAGAGTGCACATGTGTAGCATGCACAAAGCTTGGGTTCCATTCCCAGTGCCACAGAGGGAAAAGCTGCCAATTCTTATTCAAAAGCCAATGGCTGATCTTCAACCTACCATAGCCCTTTCAGAATACATCTTTCTGCTTACTCCTGTGGTCCTGATGAAGGGTAAAAATTTTGGTTTATTGCATCATTTCTCCACTCCAGCCTAGGTAGCTTTCAGTAGCTTATAGGATGAAATTCAAGCCAGGAAGTGGTGGCTCACACTTATAAACCTAGCTACTCAGGAGGCTGAGATCTGAGGATCAAGGTTTGAAGCCAGCCTGAGCAAGAAACTTTGTGAGACTCTTACCTTCAATTATCCACCAAAAAGCTGGAATGGAAGTGTGGTTCAGATGGTGGAGTACAAGACTTGAGTGAAAAAGCGAAGGGACAGTGCCCAAACCATGAGTTTAAGCCCCAGGACAGGTGTGCGCACATGAATGTCCAAATTCAAGCAGTTTTAGTCACCTGTCAGCATGCCCACCCACAAACTCTACAAAGCCAGGTTGCTTTGTGTTTCTTGTGGACTTTCCCACGGACTTGCCCTTGCCTGGAGTGACTTTCACTTCATGCTACTTCACCAAGCTGGAACAACTCCCAAGTTCCTTCCCAATGACCTCACAACCCAAGATCTCGCCTTCCCTTCCCTTCCACCAGCAGCTGCCAGGATCACTTCATAGGGAGACCTGAGCACACACAAGACTAGTCCTCCCAGACTGCTCCTCAAACTCTGCTTTCTCTGTCTTCAAGATGACCCTCTGAACAGGGGCTTACACACAACAGACTTGCAGAAAGAGTCCCTGGCTTGACTTCACAAAAGCTAATTGGAGAATTAATTTTATTTTATTTTTTGCCGGTCGTGGAGCCTGAACTCTGGGCCTGGGCGCTGTCCCTCAGCTCTTCAGCTCAAGGCTAGTGCTCTACCACTTGAGCCACAGC